TTTTATTAAAAAAAAAACTAGACGTTGTGTTGAAAACTTGAGACTGGCGGCAACACAAATGTCTGAAGTGACGATTGATATTTTGAGAATTCGGTCCGTACCGCAAAGAAAACACCACAATTCACCGTTACAAAGATCAGATTAATGCTATTCACACTAAGAATCATACGCAACTCATAATACAAAATGAAGCATTACAGTACTGATTTTAAAGATGGTACATATAGTTACCACACGGATATAAAGAGTTAACTATAACGCTTCGCGAGCAGTGAACGAATTCTGACACGGTGATAAATTATAGAAGGATTTAGTAACGAACGCAAATAAGTTACCGCAAAAGAACATAATACTGCCATCTCTGGGCAACTAAATTTGACACGGTTATAAATTATAGAAAAATTCAGGTTAGAATACAGAGCTAAATTAGCACGAAACAGCATAATACTGCCATCTCTGGGTAACTAAATCTGACAAGATGAGATAAATCAAAGAAAGATTCAGGATTGAACGGAGCTAAGGTTGGTTCAAAGAGCATAATACTGCCATCTCTGGGTAACTATTGGTACTGACACATCGTAATACTAGACTCGGTCGACACAAACGGAAACCACTTTACAGCACTTGACTATTAGAATGGTAAGTTATCAGGGCTGGCGATTCTGGTACATTCTACAGACGACAGAAAATCACGTTCATGCAAAAAATACGTCAAAATATAAATAACATGTTTTTGCTTATTAAAATTGAACAAAACGGGAAGGAAACATATTCCACGGGATAAACAAAAATTAAAAGTTTTTGGGGACAATACAGGCAGCCATGAAAGAACTGATGGCACGTTGGATATGACGTGATGAAGAAAACCCATGACTATTGTATTCCTAACACAAGAAACAATTCATAAGACCTTACCGCCATCACGACGTCCCTACATTCCAACTAAAATACGAAATCTACGATTACAGTAGCTTCCAAAGCAACGTTACATAACTAGTTCATTACCATCGTTTCCATCTGCCGGAAAAAAAAAAGTTTGTACAAGAGATGAACTGGCGATTTCAAAATAATCAACTAATATCAAGTCTACACGTTGCCGGAATCACATTCTTGTCTTACAAACTCGACGCATCCAATATCTTTACCCGTTCGCAAAATACAGTTTCAAACGAGTTTGTACGAACTTTGCCAATACTGCGCTGTGAACGAAAAAAGCTCCAATTCTCACAGT